TGCCATTGCGCGACCCATGAATTACGAGCGGGGCGATGTGCTTGCCATTGCGCGACCTTGAAATCTGGGAAGCGGGGCATCTGAGCAGGGCTGCTGATCATATGAGACTGTAATTAACTGCTGAACGATCTTTTCTGACAAAGTCCGTAAGTCGCAACTTGTTTCACCGCTTTTGGTAGCTTTCTTGGTGTTTGTCACTTTTTGGTGCTTACCTTAGGACCGAGTGCGGCAGCGGCCGTCGACGAGGCCTATCCACGCCAAAAAAAGCAGCGGCAGCGGCAGCGGCAGCGGCAGCGGCAGCGGCAGCGGCAGCGGCAGTGGCAGTGGCAGTGGCAGCGGCAGCGGCAGCGGCAGTGGCAGTGGCAGTGGCAGTGGCAGCAGCAGTAGCAGCAGCAGCAGCAGCAGCAGCAGCAGCAGCAGCAGTGGCAGCAGCAGCAGCAGCCGCCGCGGTAGCGGCAGTGGTAACGTTAAGAGTAGCCGTAGCAGTAGCAAAAGCAGGAGCGGGAGCTGGAGAGTAGCCGCTGTCGTCGTCGTCGTAGCAGCAGTAGCAGTGGTCGTAGTAGTAACAGGAGTAGGGAAGGAGCAGGAGTAGGCTGTAGTTGCGCGGGGTAGCAAGGTCCGCCAGTTTTGGCACGTATATTTACCACCTGCACTTTATTGCTCGAGGTATTTCGTTTTGATGCCCTTTGATATTTGTTACCTCGTTCTGATCCGACAGTCCATTCTACGTTCTGTTATGCCACCCGTGAGCTTCCAGCCATTGCCTCTGTCGACTTTGTCACGAATAGGTCAGAAAGCTCACATATGTGTAGCGAAGGTAGCAGCGTTTGTATTTTTCGCGATCTTCAGCTATTTCGTTTTCGCTCTGGCCCGTGTCATTATTTCGAAGAACAGCAGCAAAAGTCGTACACAATACCATGTTTGCAAAGGGCATCATCTATAATGAGACGAAAGTGATCATCGGCCGTGCATGCAAATCTTGGTAGCTGTCGAGCCGGGGTTGATTCCCCGCAGACTCCACTCACTTCCGGACCACCTCGAGGATTGCTACTTTTGTTGTGGCATCGTTTTGCTTCAGCACACTCGTCTTCGGTGTTGAGAGGTGCTTTTACATTAAATTCGCGATCTTTGGAGCTTCCGCGTAAACGTTTTGTGGAGCTTGCCCGAACCCTTACCTAAACCCCGCCTTCCCTGCTACACGCAAGCATTGACACGGCCACAGTTTACCATCTCCCGAAACGTTTAGTCGAGTCCGTTCAAAGCTTGGGGTTGAGAAGTTTGCACTGAAACCGCAATGTGTTCAGCTCAAGGCGGTTCAAGTCCGAACATGATATTTGACTTTTTGAAGGTGCTGGTTGCGTTCGTGCAGGTCTTCGCAACATCCGGGTCCGGCAACCTGGGGTCCTCCGAGTGTCCATGCGTTACCAACAGCTCTTCCACGTACGCAGTCTATGAAGCTGTCGTGGCCGGAACAGACGGGCTCCCTCCAACTTTTGGTTTGACCGGCTGTCAAGCGTATGACTCAAACCTGGCCAAGTACGGGTGCGCTCAAAATGCAGAAGCTTACTGCAGGAGCCCATGGTGCTACGTGGATCCGGAGTTGTGCCCAGAAAACAAGGAGCTGTGCGAGGCGGCCGGCGGAGAGTTGGGAAGCGATGTCTCGCCCCACTGTCGCACTCGGAGAACTGATCTGAGTCCGACCCTCTTCAACGTTTCCGGCTTGTACAGCTACGAGACGTGTGGCTCTGTGAACGTCTACGACATTTCAGAGCTCAACGAACCGGTGGCAGCGCGTCGGCTGCGGGTAGCAGCAACAGCTTGGGCACCATGGATCATCACGAAGCGGAACCTCAGAGGTGAGGAAGAGCTTGGGCCAAGTTTAGATGCTTCTGTAATTAAGCTTTCTCTTCAGTATGGGTAGTACGGTAGGCCGACAGAAGCAGTGAGGAGTGGGCCGGTCCGATGTATGACTTTTTGGAGGAGACTTTGGACGCCTTTGATCCAAACCCAGGCATCAACATCGTTCCAGGATGGGCCACACCAGAGTCCAGGCAAAAGTATCCGGAGAGCAGCTACACTGCGTGTGTGCACGACGTGGCCGTTGGTAACTTCGACATTTGCCTCGCAGACCTCTGGATCACACCGGAAAGGAACCAATTGGTCACATTCCTGCCCGCGCTGAGGAACGACCTCTTCTACCTGGTGGTCCCCAAAAGTCAAGGTGCACAATCTGATGTTACTGGGTTCTTGTTAAGGAGTTTATTTTCGGCTACCATAGCAGGGATCTATAGTGAAGCATTGGGTTCCGTATTATGGTCATTATGGTCATTGCGTAAACTAGGTATCTAGGGTTTAGGGTTTAGGGTTTAGGGTTTAGGGAGGTCCCTTAACAAGATCCCAGGTTGGCTTGTGGGCTCGCCTCGAGCGGCCTTTCTTGCCCTTCACCCTCGATGCGTGGATGGCAGTTTCCGGCTTTCTATGTGCCATGTCACTCCTCCTCTACCTGAGACAGCTCTGCGAAACGGGCTGCGAGTTTGATGGGAAGAACAAGTGCAGGGGGAATGTAGTTTCATTCCTCGAGTCTTTGCTCCTCACTCATGTCTGACACATTTCTTCAGTTTTCCTCTAGTCGCGATAGTCTGCACTGCTAAGAGGAAAGAAAGAAGCAATATTTTCGAGAAAGGGCTTCCCGAGCAAAGCCCAGGTTCTATGTCTGGCACGACTTCCTCCTTGGGCAAAGTAGTATCCTAGTAGCTGACTTAGTCTACTTTCGACTTCTTGGCTTAATGTTATCCCAAAACGAACTGGACAATGGAAATTCTTTGGGATCATATCTCCAAAGAGCTGAGAGTGTAAGTTTTTTGGGACAACCCTAAACCCTAAACCCTAAACCCTAAACCCTAAACCGTGAGGTATGGACGTGGACAGTGGCCCTGTGCGCAAGATCTTCAGCTCCTCGGCTGCTCCTACGTGCAGGAGACCCTTCATTCAGCAAGGCATTAAGTACTACAGAAATCGGATTTCTAGTCTGTATACCCATAGCGACAGAATCATGGCTTCTTACTTGCTGATCACTAGCTGTGAGTTTTTTCGTTTTTGTTGTGAGGTTGTGTCTTTCTGTTGCAATGCTCAGGCTTGGCTCTCGCGTTTTTCATTCTCATTACGCTGGCAAGCTACACCGCAAGCTTGGCTTCTTTGTTGCTTGGTATGCACCGTCAGAATGGGCTTTCGGCAAGAATCCCGTGACTGCTTTGGATCTTCGTTTGAGGAGCCGCAGACTAGGGCTGTTCCACATCAGAAGTTCCTATTTCTGTTTGCGCAGACGAACTCAGCCTTAGAGCCTTTGTCGTGCTAAGAGTCTTCGTAGATATTGCCCGGGCAGCATCGAAAGTCGCTGGAGGCTGGTGGTGAAGAATCAGGCCAGCGGCGGTGTTGAGTCAATCGAGGAAGCCATTAAGGCCGGCATGACAATCTGCACGGGCACGGCCTTGCTGCCGACCGTCAACAGCGTGTACCCTCGGGGAAAATTTCTGGGCGTGAATATGGCAGAGGCACCTCGCACACTCTGGGCCGGGAATTGCTCAGCCATGGTTATCACCGAAGATGTGATCAACTCGATGCTCAGTGGAAAGTTCAGGGAGGACGACTGTGCAGCCCTCGAAGCAGGGAGTCTCACAGCAGCAGAGGCCCAATGCAGAGAGCCAGGTCGAGATTGCCAGTTTACTCAGGTAGGCGAGCTTCTTTGGAGTGTTCCTATATCTTTCCCCATCAACCCGAAGATGGCACACAGCTTCTCCTGGGCGTTTACGGCCGCGATCACGCAGGGCAAGTTCGAGGATGCAAAACGCAGCCATGCTCAGCTCTTCCCAACTTCCGCTTGCCAAGTAGAGGAGCCATCCCTACAGTTGACCTCCGATGACCTGACGCTAGCTTGAGCTTGAGAATGTTTTCGCTTGCCTGGTGCGTCTAGCGGAAATGTTTTCTTTCTCCGTGCTCTGCACCTTAGCACCACGAAGGAGCGGCACAATGGTCATCTCCTTCACTCTCATGCTCATCGGCTTCATTGTCATGGGATTTCGACAACTCCGCCGCAAGCAAACGAAGAGTGGAGGGCGTGAGGAGACTGAGGATCCAGAGGAACCCAAGGAGACCAAAGCCATCTAAGTAGTACAGTATAGATACATTTGTAATTAGTACCCCTTACTGATACATATATTTTTCTGTAAATATATATATTATATTTTGAATATACAAGCGTTACTGTGTATTTTTGTTTTTGTACATGGTACCCTCCCCCGGTGCAGCTCTCCTGTTGGAGCGACCTTCAGCGCGGCCGGGGTCCCCATTTGCTCGTTGCTGAGTTTCACCGCCTTTCGAGTTGAATTCATTTGCCAGGTGAGGGTCGGACTAGATCTGTATAGCAAGGTGAAGCCGCCAAGCTTTCATGCAAGAGAGTGGGCTTTGCACTCCGTCCAGATGTGGACGCTCAAAGCATCCCTTCAGCACTCTGCAGCTCTCCCGAAGCAGCCCTTCCGCAAACGCGTGGGGCTGCTTGCCCCCTGTCAGTTTTTGGATGCACAGGCTAGAAGCACCGTCTGCATCGAAAGCTGCATTCAAAAGAGGCCGTGGGGTCTGTTCTGAATCTGCATCAGGGACCATGCCTGGTGCATTGTTGCTTGTCATTGTTTGAAAGCTTCTTTGCCCTCAGTCCTGCGGCTCCTAGTAACCAAGCCATGTGCAATCAGCCAATTGCTGTCGATGTCATGACTCCTGCTTTTCCCTTGTCTTGTAGTGCCAGTGAGACTGTTGAGAGCGAAGATCTCAATGTGACCAACAAGTCCAGGAAGTCCATATTTCATGCTTGAGAGTCCTGTTCCCACAATGACGGCAGACACCGCATTGTTGCCAGAGTCCCGCAGCCGCCGACGTTCTGCCTTTGAAGTGCATCTTTGACACTGAAGTGTTACAGCAAGCCGTGCGGCATTCGCTTCTTGACTTACGAGGGGTTCGGTGCGAATCTCGAAGATTTTCGGACATGCTAGAGATTCTTCTACTTCTGCAGTTTCTTCTGGTGGATGCAACTTCTTGGGTGAGATGTTCCAATTGGCACCGGACGTCAACTGGCAGTGATGACTCTTGCGCATGCATGGAGATTGCACGAGGGATGTTCGCGTCGGGAGTCGTTGAAGCTTGTGCTTCGGAAGCTCTCCAGCATGCCATATCGGCGGAAACGGCGTGGATTGTGT